TCTTGTAGTATATTTTTTATTGCTATGGTTTGGTTCCAGTTTTTTGAGTGATTTTATTAAAATCCCAGTCATTCGCAAATTACCTGTATTTGTCAAATGTTTTTGTCTGTATTTGTTGCTTTGATATCTTAGCTGAAAAAAATCAAACCATATTTATTTGCTTCCTTAAACACTTCAACAGTCAGTTGTGTAATGGAACAGGCAAATCAGGGCTTCATTCACCAGTAGCCTGTGTGTGTACCTTCTTTCTACCCTGAAGCCTTCATTATATTTTTAAGGGGATATTTGAGCGTTGTTTATATTAAATTTGAGACACTGTTAAGTATATTTCCACCTTTTACACTTTTAGAATCATTGGAATCAGAAGGCCGTGCCACTGCACCAGATCCCAGTGCGTCAAACTGTAAGTACATCATCATACTACTACTCAGAACAGAATTTGTAGGTGGTAATGTGGCAAATGGTCCACATGTATATAGCACCTTTTAACATTAGCTACATTTTACTAAGTACTTAACAATGTTTCTCATTCACCTCTTTACACACATAAGCTCACACTCAGTTTCCTACTGTTGGGAGCATCTTGAGGCTCAGGGCTTTCAATTAGTGTTCTTTAAATTTTAATTGCTCGACATTAATAATTGTAATAAAAATGAATTTGAATCACATAATTTCAATTTGGGTTGTTTACTTGAATAATCGCAATTCAAATTCAATTTACGAACATACATATGCGAGTCACTGGGGATGAACAATCAAATGCAGATCCGCAGAAGTCACGTTTAACCAGGTTCAGTCTAGTTTTTAAAGGACACATCTTTACTTCCTGTCAATGTAAAGGAGTAAAACCAAAATATCCCTGATGTAGGAGTATGTAGTATGAAAGGATCATCACAATTTTTGCAGAATAAAGTTTTTGTTATGAACAATAATTAGCTATTAGCTAGCTAAGATAACAACAGTCTAATGTGATCTATGGAGGTGACTTGTTGGTAGTAGTTTTTAGTTTAGAAAATAACAAGATCAAAGTCTTTATTAAGTTCGTCTGTCTTATGAAATAGCTCTACTGTGCTTAAACTTGAATTTAAAAGCCAGTATTTTAAACAACTATTAGTTCTGTGAACCTTCAATTGCACTGCACTCATCATAACACCCTGATATCAAATCACACTTCAGGCATACCTGATTAACTGTAGCCTGACTTGTTTGCATACTTTGTTTTCGTAAATACTGTGCTACTTTGCTAAATTGTGACAAGACAAATTTTGCCATTTGTAACTATAATTTTTTCCCTCCTTCTAGCTTTCTCACATACATTCTGTTATTTTATATAAACCCACAAGACAAGCAAGACCCACACACATGCACACACATTACATTTTAAAGTTATTTGGTGTCCTTTGATATGTATAGTTTTTGTGTGTGCTTGGGTTTTTTAGCTACTGTGAGTGTTTTGCCAGCGGAGTGATGTGCAGCAACTGTTACTGCTCTAACTGCCACAACAATGCAGAGCATGTAACAAAGCGTCAGGAAGCAGTTAAGGTTTGCATTACTTTTAATAAACAAGTTCAAGGTGTAAACTTTGTAAAATGATTATGTGTGTGTCAGCTTACTTTGTAAAGTATTTGTTTTTGTTTACAAGAGAAAAAAAAAATCTTTGTCATCTTAGAAATGATGCAAATGTTGAAAAGTGATACAGTTGCGAATCATTTGATATAAAGATGATATTTCCCAGGGGTGTACTCACTTGTGTTATGTACTGCATGTTTGTAATAAACTAATGTTTCTATAAAGAACCTGAAGCTGTCAGATAAATGTAGCGGAATTAAAAAGCACTGGTTGATATTAATTTGTCAGTTACATGGCAGGCATCAGATGTTAAGATAAATAGACTAAAAGAGTATCGGCTTAGAGAGTGTAAGTAGAGTACTGACAGTGACAAACATTTGTGATATATGTAATCACCATCCAGCCACGGGATGGTACAGGACGGTGACTGCTGTGTGAGCTGACTGCTAATCCGTTAGTAACAGCTGAAACACTATTGACTGTTGGTGGCTGAGACATAGAGAGTAGCTTTGTCACAATCAATCACGTCTAATTGGTATTGCAGCCTGGGTGACCGGTGTCATGCCATTATCGGATGTGATTCAGCAACACTGTTACTGGAAAACATTCATGGGGAAATATGTTCTCTCTTGCTCTGCAAGACCACTTAGACCACCTTTGTTTTCTTCAATTTCTTGTTCATTTTAATACCTGGTACAACCAAAGGTATATTTGTTTGGACAAATTAAATGATAACAACAAAAATAGCTCATAAGAGTTTAATTTAAGAGCTGATATCTAGCCATTTTCCATGGTTTTCTTGATAATTACCAAAATCACTTCAGTTCTTACATCAGTAGCTATGGCATTGTACTGCCAAAAACAGTGCTTTTAGACATTCCATGGTTTCTTTTCTGTCTGTTTTAGTCACATGATACACACAGGAGTTAGTACTTGATTGCATAAACATTGTTTTTGATGACTGCGGCCATGCGTCTTGACATGTTCTCCACCAGCTTCTGACATTGTTCTGCTGTCACAGCAGCCCATTCATGTCGCACAAGTTCAAACAACACTTTGCTTTGTTTTTGGGCTTGTGATTCTCCATTTTGCATTTGATGATTTTCCACAGGTTTTCAATTGGATTTATATCTGGTGATTGAGCAGGCCAAGGCATGGTTCCAATGTTCTGGTTCTCCATCCAGGCTTTAACTTGCTGTGTAGCAAGGGCCATTGTCTTGTTGGAAAATCCAGTTATTCAATGCAGGAAAGAGTTTTCCACCTGATAGAAGAAGACTGTTTTCATGAGTAGCCCTGTAGATGACCTGGTTCATTTGCCGTTCACACAGTTGCATTTGCCCTGTACCACCCATACGAAAACAACCCCAGATTGTCACTGATCCACCCCCATGTTTTACTGTAGGGGCAAGACAATCTGGTCTGTAGGCTTCTCCAGGCTTCCTCCTAACCAGTAAGTTGACTAGAGTGAGCATCAACTAAAAATTGGATTCATCACTGAAGAGAACCTTAGCCCAATCATCAACAGTCCAATCCTTGTGATCCTTAGCAAAGAGTAACCGGGCTTTCCTCTGCCTTTGGTTGATGAAAGGCTTCTTCTGTGCCCTGTGTGACTTCAGACTAGTTTCTAACTGTCCTTGCCGAACAGGTCACATTTCTCGACAGTACCCACTCATTTTTAAGGTCACTGGAGGTCTGACGATGATTTAGACAGATGAGTACACGGTCATCTCTTGGGGTGGAAAGACGTTTCGTGCCGCGACCAGCTAGCAATTTGGTAGTACCATGTTCGGCTTGTTTTTTCTTGGTGTAATGAACAACTGTCTTGGAGATCTTCAGTCTTTTGGCTACCTGTCTCTCCCTCACACCAATTTTCAGTGGTGGCATTATGTGAGAGCTGACAACTTCTCAGTTGTGCTACAGCTTGAATGTAAGCAGGAAACTCTCTGCCTTTGCATGTGCAGTGCTGCTTATGACATGAAATGGCCTCTTATATACACAGGGAATACAATTAAGCTTCAGCATGTCAAATAGGACATAAAGTATTATGTAATCAGCTGCACTTTTTGACACGTTCATTGTATTCTTCAGGTTACCTTTAGTTGTACCAAGCATTAAAATGAACAAGAAGTTGAAGAAAACAAAGGTAGTCTAATAATTTTTTCCATGACTGTATGTATATATCTCCTCAAAGCTAGAAGATTCCCGGTTTGCGTCCCGATCTGTGATCTTTCTGTGTGGAGTTTGCATGCTGTCCCTGTTCCTGCGTGGGTTCTCACTGGGTTCTCCAGCTTCCTCCCACAGTCCAAAAACATGCTGAGATAATTGGTGATTCTAAACTGTCTGGAGGTGTGAGTGTGAGTGTCCTTGTTTGTCTCTCTGTGTAGACCTGCAGTAGACTGGTAACCTGTCCCGGGTGTCCAATGCCTTCACCCTAAGTCGGCTGGGATAGGCTCCAGCCCCCCAGTGACCCTAGTGAGAATTAAGTATAGATGATAGATGGATGTATAGATAATGGATGGATATAGGATGGCACAGTGTGCGGTGTTGCCTCAGGGCTAGAAGGTCCTGGTGTCACAATAATGAACTCAGCTGACAACAAGACCAGTGCTGACCAAACGGCCCATAGTTATGGTACAATTATTGGCTATTGCAAGTCAGGGAGCTGTGTTAGATCAACACGATGAGTTGTTACGCAGTCTTGTGGAAAGCTCTGCTAAATCAGGTTTCCCAACTCATTGGCAAAGTCACTAAGCTAACCATGCAAATCACGCAGTCGACTCGCTCCACCTGAGCTCCAGCTCTATTTCTACCAAGCTCATCCTCAGCTAGTGTTAGCCCAGTTGTTCCTCTGCCTATTTGTAAACCATTCATGCCTGTTGAATGTTCCGCCGCAGACCTAGGGTCTTGTCAGGCTTCCTTAACTGAGATCTCACTCATGTTTGACTTGCAGTGTGTCTCCTGTGCTTCTGATAGAGCTTAAATAGCCTATTTGCTCACTTCGTTGACTGGCCCAATGAGAGAGTGGGGAGCTGCTGTGTGGGAGAGTGAACCAGGGATATGCAACTCCTACCGAACATTCATCACTGAGATGAAGAAGGTCTTCGACCATCTAGCAAGAGCAACCAAGAGCGGCTGGAATTCTGTCTGGCAATCACCAAGAGACCATCACATTCCACCTTATTGATCATTCCTGTCCTCCATTGTCTTGGGGTAATCGTGTCTTCAGAAACACAACCCACAAATCGATTGGATAAAGAAGGTGAGATCCTGGAGTCTCCATTGCCACGCAAACTGTCTCCGCTCTGCTCCACCCTGGCTTTACCCTCTGACCCGACACCTGCCAAACCCATTAACTTGGCTCAAGTTCCCCAGGAGTAACGACCTAGCCCCGGTCTTCAGCATAGAGGACATCCTCACCCTGCCTCCACACCGCCCATATGACTGCACCATAGACCTGCTCCCTGGTGCCACCCTACCTAGTAGCCGGTTAACCTTTCTACACCAGAACAGACAGCCATGGAGATGTATATCCGGGATTCCTTAGCCACTGGGTCATGCGACCATTGTCCTCTCCAGTAGGTGCAGGCTTCTTTTTTGAAGAAGAATGGGTTCCTTTGCCCTTATATTTTTTGTATATACTAGCCTGAATGACCTCACAATCAAGAACATCTACCACTTCCTTCTGATCAACTCTGCTTTCACCCTACTACATGGCACAACAGTATTCACAAAATTGGACCTCAGAAATACCTACCACCTCATCTGTATCCGAGAGGGGGACGAATGGAAGACGGCGTTCAACACCCTCTTAGGACACATTGAATACTTAATCATGACATTTGGACTCACCTATGCACCTGCAGCATTCCAAAACCTGATCATTGATGTCCTCCTAGATATGATAAACTGGTTTGTCTTCGCTTGACGACGTCCTCATCTACTCTAAGGACCCAGAGGAACGTACTCAACATGTCCGTCAAGTCCTGGAACGGCTCTTAAAGAACCTACTGTTTGTGAAAACCGAGAATTGCAAGTTTCACGCCACCACTGTGTCCTTCCTGGCGACATCATTTCTCCAGGAAAAATACAGATGGACACACTGAAACTCGCCACTGTAAAGAGCTGACCCCAACAGGGACATTGCAAGCAATTTCAACAGTTTCTTGTCTTCGCCAACTTTTACTGTTGCTTCAACTACAGCAAGGTCGCCGCCCCACTAACCGCCCTGACCTCCACCTCCAGAACCTTCCTCTGGACTCCCGAAGTTTCCCAGGCTTTCCAGGATCTCAAGCACTAGTTCATCTCCTCCTTTCATCTGGGTGCAACCCAATCATAGTTTACAGTTCATCGTGGAGGTAGATGCCTCTGACACGGGGGTGGGGGCAATTCGCTGTCAGTGTTCACCAACAGACAGTAAACTGCATCCACCTGCCTTCTCTTGTCGCCTCTTTCCAGTTGAAAGAAACTATGACATTGATAACCATAAACTGTTGGTAGTCAAGTTGGTCCTGGAGGAATGGCGCCACTAGTTGAAAGGGGCTGAGCAACCTTATATTGTCTTGTCTGACCACAAGAACCTCGAATATGTTCGATCCGCCAAGAGGCTGAACTCTTGCCATGCTCACTGAACCCTGTTCTTTGAGAGGTTCAACTTCACAGTGACCTATTGACCCGGTTCAAGGAACACTACGCCTGATGTCCTGTCTCTTATGTTCTCTGCTGAAGAATGCTTTAGCGATCTGATACAGATCCTGCCCAAGATCTGCATGGTCGCTTTCCTCACCTAGGAGGTGGCGTCCCAAGTTTGGCGTGCTCAAGCTCAACAACCTTGCCCAGGTAACGGCCCTCCTAACACCTTGTTTGTGCCTGATCTTGTCTGCTCCCAGGTTCTGCAGTGGGCCTATTCATCATGTCTGACTTAGCACCCCGGGACTGCATTAACCCTTGAGGTGTTACAGCAAAAAGTTTGGTAGACGACTATGGAGCCCAACACTCTGGAGTTTATTGCAGCCTGTTCCTATCTGTGCCTGTAATGAGACCCCAAATCAACCCATCTCCAATCTTCTCCAGCTACTGAGGGTGGAATCTAAAAAAACTCACTCCATTGTTCATCAGACCATTTGAGATTGAGTGAGAGATTAACCTCAGTGCGGTCTGCCTCAAGCTACCCGCCACCATGAGGATTCACCTGACTTTCCATGTGTCCCAGATTTAGCCCATGAGAGAGAGCCCTTCTCTTGGGTGTCTCCCAAGGGAGTTATTTTCCTAAGGTTGACCTTCAATTCAGTTCTGCTATTCTTGCCTGAGATTTTCTGTTGTAAATATTATATATTATATATATATATATTTGTAAATTAATTTCCTTGTTGTTTATGTTAGCTTGTCTTTCGTGTCTCTGTTGCTCTGTGCTTTAGTCTCAGAACTGATCCGTGACACCTGGTCACCGGGCGCTCGGCATTCTCCCACAGTCCAAAGACATACTGAGGTTAATTGGTGATTCTAAATTGTCTGTAGGTGTGAATGTGTGCTTGGTTGTCTGTCTTTCTGTGTGGCCCTGAGATGGATTGGTGACCTATCCAGGGTTTGCATCTTGTGCTGAGTCCTGCTCTTGTTGTCCTCTGTTAATCTTTGACAAGGAGACATGTTTACCTATAACCTGGAGAGTGCTCCTGATGTGCTGTTAGGTCATCAAGGGTTTTTTCTTTGTTATGTGAATGATTCGCTACTCGTTCACAAACTTGTGTCTTTAGTCAGTTGTCATTTTAAATTTTTTTCTGTGCGCATCTGTATTTTTGCAATTACTATTGCTTTTAGCAAAAAAAAACTACCTTTGATATCTGAGTATTTGGACTGTTGAAATGTGCTTTTTTGAGCCACATTTTATACTACAAAAAGTAGAAATATTTTTACGTAGAGCAACACGACAAATATTGACATTTTTACAACATAAAGCTGAACTCCTGCTCAGAGGTAAATACCTCTTTATCACCCTCTCTTGTGTCATTTAAAGTATTTAATCCTTATCTTATGCAAAATGCTATGACATGTCTATCAGTGTCCACTGAGAACATTTCAGAAGCAGAAAGAAAAGAAAGGTAATGTCTGCCACCATCTTTGTTATGGTATACAATAGAGCTTGTCTTCTCATTGAGTGCTTGTATCCTGTGCTTTGACATTTCAGGACCGTGCTCTTATGTTACTTGGCATTTATCACGATGGTGATCAAAATAGGTTTAAATATACATGTGTATTGTTTTGGGGGGAATGTTAACAGTTCTTCTGATTCTAATCATTACTGTTATTGTCCTTTTGTAGTCCTATTTAAGTTGCAATCCAGATGTCTTCAGGACCAACTTTGCTGGTAGGACATCAAGAAAGGTTAAGGGCTGCAACTGTAAACGCTCTGGCTGCCTGAAGAACTACTGCGAGTGCTTTGAGGTTTGCGCACACACACACACACACACACAAACAATGTACATATTACATATGTTATTGAAATCATAACGACACCAAGTGGGACATGCAAGGCAGACTGCTAAACCAGTGTGGAAGTACCTTAGGCTTGGCTCACTCTACAAGAGTTTTGGGCAGACTTACCCAGTTTAACCTCTCTGATAATCGGAGGAGAACTCTGGTCTGTGGTCTTGGTTTGATCTGATGTTGGCATAGATTATTTGGTAATGTGAGGGCTTTACAGACCCTGTCCAAAACCTCCTGAAGCCTAAACTGTATTGGAATTAGTTTAAAAAGCAACTGATCTTACAAGTGCAAATTGAATTCATTACTCATGAGCAAAAACCTGAATAGCTTCACCTTCTGTTTTGCCTGGACTGACAGATTTGTCAGCCTTCAGGACTTGCTTTGGTTTTTATTGCTTTTTTGCCCATCAAAGAATTTCGATACAATTTAAAATTCATTTTATTTTATTTTAATATATAGTCAGATTTAAACAACTTAATTGTAGTTCTTATATTTTTGTGAGCTTCATAACTTCTGGTAATGTAACTAAGGTATGATACTGCTGATACAAAAAGATGCATTACTTTTGAAATGTACACCTAAATAGCTTAGACCACAAATCATTTGTAACTGTTGGGAAAAAAAAAAAGACCCTTTTAGATAATTTTTGCAAAATGTTATTCTCTTGTGTTTGTGTGCAGGCCAACATCATGTGTAGCTCCAGCTGTAAATGTCTTGGCTGCAAGAACTATGACGAAGGCTCACAAATGAAAAACAAAGGAAAGACTGTCAATATGATGGACACGTAAGTCAGTTCAGTTTGACACAGTACATGGTACATTACAGCTGCTTCAGCAATACAGCTTCACAGCTCCAACACTGTGTAAAACATTTTTCCACAGATAAAGTTACTGCCATGTGTGAGGTAGAAACAATGGACCTTGTGCAAGAGTCATGTGAAAAGATCTGTTTTCATGACCAGTAGCGTGCAGAGCAGATTTAAGAGAATTTGTTACGTTATTACATGTTTTAAGTTCCTTCACGCTACAATTGAAAAATCTGTTATGTTAACAGTTCCTGGGGGGTGTACTATGGAGCAAGATGAATGGGTTAGCGATGTATGTTGAGCCTTGAATTTTCAGTGTCATCAAGGTGATTCTCTTTAACCTACTAGATCACAGTGGCAACACATGAATATGTTTCTGTGCTTGGTACTGATTTACTGCCCAGTCTGCTTTACATGTATACTGCTGGTACTGCAGCAAGAGCAAAAGAACACAGACAGATTATTCTATTGGTATTTATTCCAAAAAATATTCAATCAGTAACATTATTTCAGTTTGTTTTGGCCCAAACCAAAGTGATTTCCCACCGATACTTCATGACTGGACAAGGTTGGACCTAAATGCACTTCTTCAATATCATGTTTAAATGAATGAAATGTAAAGTTAAAGAGTTGTGAAGCAGTCGCATCAGTAATAAGCAGCTTCATTGAGCGTGCACAATTAGCAGTTTTCTACCAGCATCCCTCTCTTGTGTCATTTTGAGTAACACTGCTTCTTACCATAATACATTGTTATGTTCTTCATAGCTCTATATAATAACATCCTGCTTGTTTTTGACTGAAGCAGACGGCATGCAATCGGTCCATTCTGTGCAGACGAAGGGTCACGTGAACTTTTATGTGAATGCGCCCAGTGGGTTAAGAAAGAGAGTTTATTACCACGATCGTGATACCATTATCTCTGATTGATACCTGCTTACTCTGATTGGGGTTTTTAGGTTTTGAACCAGCACACCTGGTTACGTCAAACTTGCTTCAAAGTACACCCTTTTGATCTCCAACAGCAACAGGGCTGTGTGCAAGCAGCATTCATTGTGTTAAAATGACAAAGTCTGAGGAGTTTTGTGATTCTAACTTTAGCAAACTTCCCAAGAGAGGTTTGTGTGAGGATAACACCTTACCTGTTCTGTTGCTGTGTGTCTGTGTTTGTGTGGTCAGAGGGCCTGCGTCAGTGATAACCCCTGCTGTTGTGGAGGCTGTGTGTAACAATCTACTGGCTCAGGCTGAGGAGGCTGCGACAGAGGCCCAGAGCCCGACCCAGGCTGAGCACATGGTCCTGGAAGAGTTTGGACAGTGTCTCTCACAGATTGTCACGGCCATGTTCAAGAACAATACCTTCTAACACTTTATTATTGTGGACACACCTTTGCTGTCAGTTGAACTACAGTGAGTTTGGTGAATTTACTACATCAATGTCACTATATTCACAGGACTTAAGGCCTGTTTTAGATTCTATATTGCTGATTTCAAAAGCTCTTCTGGTCAATGTAAAGCTTAAGTTATTTTCTGAAAATATTCTTGTCTATACAGACACACAAATATAAAACTTGAGTTCCATTGTTTTTAATATATTGTCTGTACAAACTGCATCCATAACAGATTTGGTGTACGATTTCTTTAGAGCTATGTCACTGTTCTGGTTCAGAGGCATAACTGTGTATGAGGCACTGACATCACTTATTTTCTTATTTATTCATCTGCATTATTTTTTCTTCCTCTTCTTCTTCTTACAGTTGTTTTGTCCAGTGTTGTTCCATTTTGAATTTTTAACACATTTCTATTTATTTATAAGAGTAGCTTTGATATGACTTATGTATTTCAGGTTCCAAAATAAAAGTAATATATTGGTCATCTGGTGTTTAGTGCAGACCTGTTTTTTCCTCATAAACCACTCATTTTTGCCATTTTCAGAAAATTGTTGTATCAGCTTTTTCAATCCATGACGTCTGACAGGGTATTTTTCTTGGAATAAGAAAAGTGTGTCCTGAAAGCTGAATCCATTGATACAGTTTGGCTCAGACGCCTGTACTGTTCTTGTGGGATTAGTGGCATTAAAAGGACTGTAAAGCATTTACAATAAAACTCTTTGGAGACAAATACTGTGGTTTGACCAGAAACTAGAAAGTAGTCCAGAAACATTTCTGGTACATCAGATATCACATGTCATGTCGTAGGCTTCTGAACATTTTTATGAATTTCTTACTTCAAACTATTTTGGGAGACAGTGGAGGGAGCAAACCTAAAAAGCACTTTGTAGCATATGTTTTGAAAAGTGCTCTATAAATAAAGTTTTTTATTATTATTACAAATTTAAGATAAATGTTTTTAGGTAAGAAATTGAGAGCTAATAACCTCTGTGTCCTCAGCGTGTTGTTTCAATGGAAAAGGCAGTTGTACCATTTTCCACACACTGAAACAAGTTTCTTATCATGTGAGAACAGTGTGATGTCTTCTGTGGATCTGGTGGAGCTCCGTCAAGTCAGAGAAACTCAGGAGGTTTGTACTATGAAGTGAGAATCACGGGTTAGTGAGGCATGTTCAAAGAGAAATGAAGCAGAGATTAAAAATGAAGAAGAACTGTAGAAAAGCAGATGTAACAGTCAGCATTTACAGTAAATCAGTTACACAAGAAGCACTCATTTAACAAAACTGATATGCCCATATTTAAAAAAAATGGAACCATTGGAACAATCCAATACCACCTTTACAACCATGATCGTTTAACCCTGTTTTATTAACCAAAGCAGTGCGTCTACCAGCTACAAGTGTGAACATTTTGCAGTCACTTCAGAAGTAAAATGAAGACTAACAGCTCAAATCAGGATACATTTGAACACCGTGAAACCATTGTTTGTACATGAGGAAACAACAAAATTGATGCTGAGATGCTCCACAAAGTTACATCCCAGTTCAATTCAGCATCCTGCCCTCTGGATCCCACACCCTTTTGAAATTTACTTTGTGGCTTTTTTTCTTTAAGATCTTCTTGCCATGATGAATTATTCTCACCAGATGGATGTCTTTCCTGCTACTTTTAGGACCACAATGGTTAAACCCCTTCAAAAGAGAAATACTTAAGATCCATCACTACTTGATAACTATAGGCCACTGTCCAACCTTCCAATCTTAATTAAAGCTTTAGAGAAACTTCTTTATCAACCGTTACCACTTCTTTGAGAAATATCAATCAAGTTTTCGAACCAATCACAGTGCAGAGACAGCACTTGTCCAGATTGTTGGTGATGATGAGTGTGATTGGCCTCTCTGCTTCTGTAAATGTGATCTCACCGATCACATGCTGAACATACATTTCCCTTTCCTGGTAAGTAATCGTAATGCAGATTGCATATTAAAACCAAGTGTAAACGACCTATGAAAGTATGGGCATCTCAATCTCTGTTGATTTTGATTTTTAAAAATTTAATGTAAATCTCCCACCTACATAGAAATGCATTGTAAATCTCTGCATTACCTTTACTGTGGGTTGACACTATTCAAACTGGACCCAGTTCCAACAGTTTAATCTGGATTTGGAAATCCCATGTCTTGCTATCCAGGATCAGTTAATCCATCTTACTTTTGTGCCAGTTTCTCAAAGGTTGGGTTGGTTCACCCTGATCCAGATACAAACTGTTAAACGATGACCTGATCCAGATTACCAGTGCTATAGAAGGGACGAAATACCACAAACAGCAGCAGGGGGTCATTTGAAGTGCTTTTTATTTGAATAGACAGAACAGCACAATAAAACAAGACAGACATCCCATGCCAATGGAAGTCAGAACAGGTGTTGTTCATGTGTGGAGAGATCACATTTTGGAGGCTCTGATTTTAGAAGGCAAATGTTGAGTCTGGTTTTGATTTGCTGTATTTGAGTAAGCGTGATGTCTTCCTCTACCAAAAAGTCACAGGCATTATCATCATCTTTGATACTGACAGCTGTTTTATGGGGACAAACTGGGCTTTCTGCACTTCATGGTGCTTCCTCCATCCATCCATATGCACAACTGGATGCTATTTACTTTTTTATCCTCTTTATCCTCTCTCTCTGGAATCCAGGTCTGATCTGCAGCTACTGCTCCCACCAACAATATTTACATTCAAGTCAAGTCAATCATGGAGACTTGACTTGAATGATGAAGGCTGCGGGCTCAGACAATCGGTGATGCTCACCCAAAGCTTTTAAGGAAAAAGGTCATTTCCTGATTCTAGGAAACATCTAATGGAAGTAAAAACAGCCTTAATATGAAATACCTCTGTCTGTTAGTCAGTGGGACAGTGTCTCACACTGACGCATCACTTGCAAGACTCACGCAGCACATCTACACTATTGATGTACCTTCCTGCAGATCACGGTCATGACGTCAGACTGTTTTTTGTGCTGTTTTGTAGCTCCTAGTAAACAGGAGTCATGCCAGGCCTCACGGGGAGCAGGATCGAAGCTGTTACTGCAGCTGCTGCTCCTGATGGGGGATATAAGCAGCCTGGAACATCGCTCGGAGCCACTTACATATGCGGCGACGGGATTGCCTGCTCTCACTGCAGCAGATATGGTAAGTGGAAACAAGTGCATGTGTG